CCTCGCTTGACTACTCATGGCCTCCCAAACCAACTTAAACCGGATGCGGGCGGGTGGGTTCAGGAAAGTCCCCATTAACTAAATGGTAACTGGATATTAATCGATCCAACACCCCCCAACCACATCACAAACCATTCGCTCGTTTGTTGACCTAGCCCAATAAATTGACCTTCATTGAGATAGATCGAATGAAACTAAAGTGTCCGTCGTGGAATCTTGCACACTTGAGAGATATTTGAATGAAAAGTTAGAGGAAGCAATGATGGAATTAATGAAGACCAACTTGTTAACCTAAGTTAAATACCGGGCCTATAACTTAGGGACCTTAATGAGTTAAGGACCTAAACTTTAGGGCTAGGACCTAACGTTAGGCGTAGGACCCTAAAATGGCTCAATTAGATATCACAAAGGGAAATGCATTCTTAAGGAAGTCGTAAACTTAAGGTGAAGGGAAGGTGTTCGAGGACCTTAAGGTCCTTAGGTTGGAAGTTCTAAAAATGATCGGAAAATGTAAGGTGGAATTGTCGAACCCAGGATCACCGACAAGTCAACCTGTCGTCCTAACCTCTAGGCTAGAGGCTCCAACCTACAAAGAGTCATACGGCTTGTTTTATGAGATACCTTATCACCTGGATGCGGACTCTATATTGCAGAGGTTCACTGGATACCCCGTTGAGTAAGGGCTTTACCAAACCGATGAATACGAGGCAGTGCCGAGTCGGCCAAAGCCATTTCACTGTTTCAAATAACGCAACAAGATGGAAACGTACCTAAGGTACGTTTCGATTTTAGGTACGTTTCGCATCAAGACTTGATGCGGCCAAAACATTGTTCTACCACTACACGAGCAGATGTGAGTCGCCGCTGGTAACACCTCTGAGCGCCATCAAGATTGGGGAGTACTCTGCGACGATAAGGAGTCAAGCAGTAGGCTCTGCATGGATACCGTATCCATGCAGAGCTTGGTAATCAAGAACTACGATTGATGAGTGGATGGAAATGAATATTAAAAAATCAATGACTACTCTTAGCTTCTAAGAGTTGGCCGAATCGGCTGGTTTACAGCTCTCTATTGTCTTCTTAGTCTGCGGAAGATCTGGCTAAGACTATCTGGGTTGCGCTCCGGACGAAGGTACAACTCTGGTTCCCTCAGGTACAGCCTCCAGCGCTGTCCGTATCTTTTATATCCCTCGCAGGAGGACGAATACTCTTGGTTGGTCCACCTCAGTAGTGAGTACGACGACGGACCGGGCCTTTGAAGAGAGTGGATAGGCTTTCGAAGTTTTCTGGAAGTGACTGTCGTATTGTTAGGCTTAAGTTATTTGGAGCCCACGGTCTTGGATATTCTTCATTGAGGTTTGGACCTAAGGTGGAAATTAGCCCCGGGTAGCTCGAGACCGCCGAAACTCGAACCTCAGTGGCTTCCTGTTGCGTTTCTACTTCTTCTTCTTCTTCTTCGCTCGCCGCCTGCTGAGCAGGCCCTGCTCTGCGACGTCCTCCAAGCGGACCACGTAGTGTTCGTCTTCGTCTTCCTCTGTCGGGGTGGTTCCGATTACGGCTTCAACGGTGGACATTTGCGTAGCTTGATATACTTGCATGCAACCCGAAGACCGGACACCCGATCAACTCAACGCCAACTATTGACCGCATTACGGCTCTAACAAAATAAAATCATGTGCCTCCTGAAGGAGCTTCCACACAGACAGGGTATTCTCCATGTCATACATCGGACCGAGGCTCGATTGGATCGAGATATCGAAAATCGATCGATTGTTCGGTGCTAATCAATCGAGGATGCTGCGGCGGGCAGACGAATCGATTCGATTCGAGAAATCGATCCACCTCGAAATTCGAAATTCATTAAAATGCTCTTCTACGTCAGCATTGAGAGTTACTTATAGGGTCTACAGCACCTATCATATTATTGTAACAATTCAGGATGCCTTTAGCAAAGCACTTCCACGAGAAGAAAAGTAAGGGTCGAGGCTAGACCGCTCAGTTGATAGCCACAGGCACTGGGAGGCTGTCTGATTATCTGACTCGGATAGACTCCATCAGCGAGATACTGAATATCCGCGCACGACCTTGCTGTTCGCCCGAGGCGAATCGCTTCGCTGTGGCACGCTGCCAATTGCGGCGACAGCCAGATATTCTGCAGATGCCGATTCCCCGGGTCGGAAGGATGGTATTCCCCGGGTTCGGTCAGATTGCGCGTTTGCCTCGAGCCTCGACGAACCCTCGAGATTGTTCTTCGGTAATTCAGAAGAAGATTATCCAAATACTATTTCTGAGCATAATCCACACCGCAAATTCAATATCCCTAGTAGCGGCTAGTAGCCGCCGGCTACTAAGTAGCCTAATAACTCTAATAGTTATCGCATATAGCATAGGTTCAAAAATCCGGATTCTTCGCCCCGCCCCTAAATTACTCAATCCGCCCATGTAGAACAGAGGGATTCACCAGGGCGTCCACCTTGTTGCCGGGGGGCCGTCATCGGACTTGAAAGTATTTCCTGCGGAATGTTTCTCATTGGAACGTTGCGCAGGAAAACGTCCTCCGGGAGACGCATAGCATGCGTCGCATACGCTTACTTCGGGAGTGGTACCAATTGACGAACTCGACATAAGAGTTGTTCACACAGCTTATATCACAAGCTACTCATGAATGGCGGTCATTATCTGTCGTTAATCAGCAGCATACCTCAAAACAGAGTCATCTGCGTCCAACGCTAATCACTAACAGCATTCGAACTACTGCTTCTCCCTTGCATAGTATTTCCTAATTGA